ATGTATCTACAGTTGTTCGTCTTTGAATTGCAACAAAATAAGGAAATCGCTACATGAGTAATCGAGTGAATATCCAATGTTGTAAAAATTTGAATTTCAAACGCTCATAAAAATTTAACTTGACTGTCCGGTAGAGATTTTTTTATTGATAAAGGTAGATAATCTTATAAGGAATCTTGTGTTTCATTTTCAAATCTTAGATTTAAAAAGAAAAATTTTTACGAATTCTTAACTCAAAATAATTTGCTAATTTTCGTGATTTTTCCATATTTTGTAAATTTTTGAACTTTAAATGCTTATAAAAAAAAATTGTGACTAAGGATTTTTAATATTTTTCATCTGCCTTTGAAACAACATATTAGGAGCCTTCTATTAAATTTTCAAGCTTTCGCAACCAACAAATTAAATTTTATTGATATTTCTAGAAAAAAAACTAAAAAAAAATGAAAAATGAAAATGTCCCTAAACAGTTCAAAATAAATCAAAATATTTTGAAAATGTTATCGTGTATAGAAAATGCAAATATAAACAACCAGTGAAAATTTCATGTATTTACGGTCATTTGTTTTAAAGTTACACCAAAAACCAAATTCGATTTTTGGAAAATCGATTTTGCGTAAAAATTCCCGTTTTTTCCTTAATTTTTATGTTGTTTTTCCCGGCGCTTGTGAAAACTACTGGAAAATGTTTACTTTTGACCCCCCAAAGTACCAACTAGATTCACTTTCCTATCATAAAAGGTACTATTGAAGAAAATCGAAGCACTTTTACTGTCCCAAAACGTGATGACAGACACAAAAAAAATATAAAAATATAAAAATATAAAAACATACATCATTGTAAAACCAATACATTCATCGCTCCGCTCAGAATCTAAAAAGAAAATATAGTAGGTAAGTAGGTACAAATGGTACAGGTTATAATTACTACTGTTTATAGAATAATACATAGTAACATAAATAGCCTAGTCCTTTCGGGATAAAAGATAAAAAAAAGCATGTAGGTATTAGGTAAGTACCTACTTACAATAATTTCTAGAAAAATATATCATGCGATTTAACCGAGGATTTAACTATAAAACAATACAGACAACAGTTGATATCGGGTGTCATGTTCAGATATCAATATTATTAGTTAATTATAGCTGGGAAATTTTTTTTGGTTTTAGATGCCGCGATATTTTGTTTAATTTATCTGTGAACCATTAAGTTATCGGTCTAATTAATAAATATGCCAACATTGAAATAAAGTAAAATTATTCTTTTGATTCTTTTATAATTTTGCTTTGTTAAAACTAAAAATAGAGCCGTCGCACCTATTTATCTTAAATGACATGAAGAGACAAAAATACAAGGTAATTTCCTTGTGAAAAAAAGTTTTACCTAACGGTTTTAATTGAATTTCTGATTCAAATACATTGGTTTGATCAAGGATGCAATTATTTCTGTTGTTTGTTGTCCTTGTATTATAGGTACCTAGGTATAGTAAATATATATGCACTTAAAGAAGTATAAATACAAATAATAATTATTGCCTAAAGATATATTGTAATATTATAAATCATAATGCAAAATATACATAGGTATTTAATACGTATTTTGTTTAAAATTTCGGAAGTTAAACTAGGTCTTACACCCGAGGGAACAAATTACAGGAAGCACATAAAATATCTACAATGAAAATTAAATAAGAAATGATCAAATGAATAATTACATAATATTAATAAAAAGTAAAAACGATACAAAATGATATTACCTACCTATATAATTTACAATTATTGATAATACCAATCATAAAATATTTTGTGTACAATCTCTCAACTAATTTTCTACATATTATATACAAATAGGTACCTACATGCTTAAATTTAAAATCAATAATAGTTTGTAATATTATATAATATGCAATTCCAAATCGACCAATAATATGCTCAAGGTACATCTCAATAAAAATTGTTCGCGGCTTTAAAAAATAAATACTTTTTCGAATTTCTTAATATTTTTTTATGAAATGGCAATAAGCGACAAAATAAATTTGAGTAAAAATGTAAACAAGAAACGAGTTTTTAAAATAGAACCTTGACCATTTTCGGTAAGCTGGGCTAACCAACCAGGCATTTTATTATATGATAGGTAGGTGGCATATTTTGTTTTAAGTCCGATTGTAAGTTAAGTTTTACGTTTATACAAACTTAATGTAAAAATCTTGAAGATTAATAATTAAACTCAATTTATTTCTAAAAACCATGGTTCGTATTTATTCGATTCTAAAGTTATCATTGATTTTGACAAATGAAAACTGGTATAATAAATTATGTAAAAGACCGCGAGTTGTCCTTGAGTAAACGCTTTTGTTATTTTTTTTTTATCTCAGATCAATGATTTAAGATAGCACAAAATTATTAATAATAATATTATAATGTAATTCTATTTTACATAATATATATAAAACCCATATTAAATCCATCTATAATATATAATAAACCTAAGTTTTATGATAAAAAAAATATTTTATTTTACCTAAATAATTGTATAGGTATACACACAAAAATCTATATTTTAATGAATTGGATAAAAATACTTACCTATTTGTTTTATATTTACGAATTAATAATTGGGTATCATTACTCATTTCAATTTACAGTTTTACACCAGGTTTTATATTTTGAATACAAAATTTTAATTTTTCTTACACAAGTACTACCTATATGACTAAGTATAATATATTTGATAATACCAGGGCCACCACAAGGACAGAGTCAGTAAAAATTGGAACTGGGACTGTTTTTTCTACTTTTATGATTATAAAACCTTCTAAAAAAAGACTTGTTGATAATAAATAATCACTAAGAGATCACAAAATTATTTTATTTACCCAATAAATGCTAGAAGATATTAAGTTCAAAATAAATGTAAGAACATACAACTATAGTATAATTAAGGTACCTGGTGGTGGGCACTTAAGTTAAATAAATTCTAATTTAATCATAATACAAATTATGTATATTACTGGGGGTATTACCTACTTTATATCAATGATTTTCAATGGAATCTAATCCTAATCTTCAACCAGACCCAGTGGTAACCAAGACAATTTTTTAAGTGTAGCAAGATTTAGTTTTTTCCAAAATGTTTTCATCTACCTAAAATCTAGTCATAGTCATCATTTTTTTGTCAATTTTATTTTATTAGAATCAAATTAATTACTAATACATACAATTAATTCAATCTGACTACATGCGTACACAAAAAAACATGTTTTAACCATACTAGTAGGTAGATAAGTACCTATTCAAAAATCAAAATTAGTCAGTAGGAACCTATACTTAAGTAGTAATACCTAATCCTTGTAATAATAATATAATGATAGGTAAAGTAATTTTGATGTTTTGATTATTTTGGTTTTATGTAGGTACCTACCTAGGTAGGTTTATAATATTATAAAAGTAGGTATCATCAATCACTTACAATATTTCCATTATTTTGCAGCAATTACTGATAACTAGTCAGTAGTGGTATAATCTCCGTAATAATTTCTAATAGATAGCAATAATTATCAACTAGGTACGTACCTAAATTAAAATTTTTATCAAAAAGTAAAAATCTATATATTTGAAAATAAAAAACAATTTTTATGTAGTTAGGTAGGTAGGTGGATACTCGGTAGATATATAGGTATTAATTATTTTAAGTGAAATACATTCCTACTATCAGCTACTATCTTAACTCTTTTTCAAATTTTTAATACAAAAACCAATGAAAAAAAAACAAAAAAAATATAATGTACTATGAAATATGAGATATGGCCTACCTATAAGTTATGAGTCATATAATATATCTACAATAATAAATTAGACACCTAAGATATTAACCACATAAATACAATTCTGGGTAAGTACCTACCTATAAATGTTATGTTTTGTCCATTTTATTAATGTAACTCGTACAAAAAAAAAAAATAAACAAACTTATTAAACCAAATCAATACCTAGCTTAAAAGAAAATGGAAAATGATCTGTGTACAGTAATATTAAATTAACTTAGAATAGGATCTCAGAATTACATAAGCTCAATTGAAAAATGTGACAATGATGGTCATACTGAGTACCTATGTAGGTACATCTAACTTGGAAGAGTAGGTAAATTAAAAAAACTTGTATATTTACTAAGTTAAATAGGTAGTTATAGGTATAAGTAATAAAAATTTTGGAAAACTGGTAAAAATAATGGAATTACCTCGGGAATTACTTTTGAATTGGTTTCAAAAAACCAAGTCCCACACAAGTCAATATTTAACTAGTTAAGTTATAAAGGTAGGTAATAGGTATGTATCGGGATGTACCTTGGTAATTAATTACCTATGTAAATAATTTAATGAATGGTACCTATGCCTGGAGGTATGCATTCAAAATAGACTAAGCAATCGCCAATCGGGTAGGTTAATGGTAGCCTTGGTGGAAACAACCAAAGCATTGAGAAATTGTATAGGTAGATTGATAGGTATAGTAACCACAATCATACTTATGAGTCAGTTACAGAAGAACTTCTCTATTTGTTTTAGCATCAAAATATTTAAATATAACTAAGGTACCTATAACACAGTTTGATGTAGTTGATTGGTAAAAAAGAAAAGCTATCATTACAAGTATAACGATTACAAAACATCATAATGAATTCACAAGATATTAAGAAAGGTTACAATCGGACTAGGTAAACTAAATGACAAGAGCGACTCTATGAAGGTAGTAGTAGAATGGCTATAATTTGGAAAGATATTCTACTCACTGCAAACTATTAGAAAACAGTCATAGCAGAATTTTGTGTTTGCAGCGACTCGGTCAGCCATAGGTGCACATTGTAACGTTATGTACGGTCTGGGTAAGCGTTAACAGGACCGATAGTAGGATCGATCAGGCCGCAGAAACTTAACTGGCTGATATAATATTAAATGAAGAAAAATACCAGTGTATAGTTCATAATAACGTCAAGACCAGCACTCACCTTTGGCTTGTAAAACCATTTCCGGATGGACTCCATTTCCCAGACTGCCGAAGACACGCCGCGGGGTCAACTTTTCATCCGACTCTGTCAAATAACCGCTGGCGGCTGCGGCGAACCGTTGCCGGACGACATTTCGGACGCGTGTCGGGCACGGACCATGGAAGAACGACGACCGCGAAAATAGCGACCCAGCGAGGGTTTTGTACGGCGCAAACTCGGCTCAGACACAGAGACACGACGGTCCGACTACCACGACTCGGCGGTGATAACAACGAGTCGTGCGAGGATTTATTCAACAATAATATTTTAGGGGCACAGCGCCGTCGTGTACCGTTGACCTGGGCGAACGTTGCCGAATGTCTTGCGAAAAAAAAACGAAACGGTCGAGGAACGATGTGTGCAACAACGAGTGCAGCAATCACAATCTCGAGACACCGTACACGACGTGAACGGCCGATACGCTACTGAAGTCGCGCGACACACGGTTGCACGACGAGTGTCGACCGCGGTCGTCGGGCGGCGGCGGCGGCGTTCAGCTTCGGTTGGGGAGGGCCGCGGGCTCGGAGAGGAAAACGCCGCCCCGACAAAAAAAGCACGGTCTCGCGGTCACGTCGTCTGTTGTGGTAGTAGTAGTTGTTGTTGTAGTATCCGTATCTCTATTCCGTTCTAGAAGTCTGACAGTGATGTACTGTTAGTGACAGCGATAGTCGACCTGCCGCAGATAGTGGACGACGACGGCGACGTTATCATATTATTATCGCCGCGAGATTTTCGTTTCTCGTGTTGGCACCACTCGTCGCCGGCGTCCGCCAGATGCCGTGAGCTCCGGATGATGGCGGCGGCTAATTCCCATGGTATTCATATTCAATGGTAGTAGGTACAGGTATTATTAATAGCAACTATTCTTTTGTTATCGTTATATTGTTTTGTTATTGTTTACCATTTTTTGAGAAGTGGCGTAGTTGTACTTGTCACCAAAAACATTAGTACCTACGTAACAAGATTTTTTTGAAACTAAGGTAAGTAGGTACCTATATTATAATATTGTATTGAAACAATTGAAATAATCTTGTAAAAATCGTGAAATATGAACATTTTGTTACTTGTTAGTACTATAAACATAAAAATGTTATCGGTGACCAAAAAATTCTTTCAACATATTTTTTTTTTTTTTTATTGATTACAATAACATATTGATGATAACAAAGGCCATTTGTTACAAATATTTACAAAACTATGTAAGATATTAGATAATGTGTTGGGTACAAATAATATATATATATTAGGTTAGAACATTTTTATTTCAACACATTTATTTTATGATTTTTGAAGATTTATTCAAATCTATAATAATATGGGTTACTTAAGGATGAGACTCACAAAAAAAAAGTACCTGCACTGACGATGAAGATACGAAGATTTTAGACTTTCGAGAGTTTCTTGCTGGTTGTGGGTATAATTTTTAAAAAAGTAAAAAATAATGAGATATTACATATTTAATGTAAATAATTATGGACGTATAGTATGTACTAGCAATATTTAAAATTTAGACCCCCTCCGCCCACAAGTAAATTTAATTTAAGTTATAACCTTGATTATGGGAGGTGGGACTTGCCGCTTACATAAATAAAGCAAAATAAATAATAATATATAATAATATACATATTGTAATATTAGATAGATTATATAACTAACAACTATAGTTCCTAAAATGTAAATTATAACTAAAATAATATGCATTAGTAGAAATTATCTACTTATACACTTTTTAATGAAATATTGAAATTAAATATGTACACTAGTACACTGTACACACATCAATAAAATGTATAATAAAATCTACTATGCGGAATTGTGGACCACCGATGACCGATATTATATATTATAGTATTTATATACGGACCAACCACCCCTCCCCCTCCTATAAGGACCACCAGTTAAAAAGTATTATATAATGCCCCTATATAAAATGAAATGTTTCACATATTTGAGGTTATAACTAGGTACCTATCCATAAAATATTATCAAGGTTGGGCATTAACGAGTTAAAAATTAAAATTAAGTTAAAACGTTAAGTTAATTTTAATTAAGTTAATTAACTCGTTACTTTTTTTTTCAAATTAACTTTTAACTTAATAAGTTGCTTTTTTTTCAAGATTAACGTGTTAACTTCAAGTTAATTTTATTTCAAAAATATCTAAATTAAGTTAATTTTCTTCCGAAGAATAATGTAAATTTTTTAATGTGTTTTTACTTTGATGTATCATTTTAAATTTCCCCAGTAATTTTCTTAGACGTAAAGAAAAACTATCTAATAAACCACATTATGTGTCTGGAATTTTCTATTTTTGCAAATTAGCAAATTTTAACTTTACACTAAGTTAAGTTACTTTTTTTTCAAAGTTAACTTTTAACTTAACGAGTTAACGATAAAAAATACGAGTAACTTTTAACTTAACTTAACTTAATTATTTTAAAATAACTTAACTTAACGAGTTAAAAAAAAACATTAACTTGCCCAGCCTTGAATATTATATTGTTTATCCCATTCGACAAAATATATTATACGAAGTAAAATCGTAAATTTGAGTTTCTTTGGCTATATTCTTTAGTCCATCCGGTGTGCCTGTACATGCACCTGTACATAATATTACACAATAATAGCATTTAAATGCGAATTGACTTCCGGGCAGCTGCAAATAAAAATAATAATAATATAATATTATAAAATCGAATTTGGAATGGGCGCTGGCAATGAATGATGATTACTTTATTACTGTATACCTGTAACCTGTAGCTATAGAAAATGTATTGATGTACCTGTAAATTACAATGTACTCGTAGTCATAAAGCTTATACGTGTATAGTATAAATATATAGTATAATAGCAGCAGATTTTTTTTATTATTAAAAGAATATTTACAATCTGTACCTAACCATATTTTACAATACAAGCAAATTTGCTGACATTTTTTTTTCGCATTGACTATTATTGTTATACTATACAGTATTACAGTAGACAGACTGTACCTACTACCTATATACATTATACATACATAGTCTGCAATAATACATTATATATTAGGTATATACATATTTATACGAATATAAAATACGTCATATTATTATACAAAGATTTTTTTTGTACACTTCAGTAGGTATGTGCATACTATGATACTATACATGCCTTATACATATATATATAAATATACTCACAATTTCTATTGACTGTTACATATCAGACGCATATTATATATATAATATTTTATTGTTAATGACACCGTATACAAATTGTATTCCGAAGGACGCTCGCAACTTTCAGCAATCCCGCCGTCTCACCTTCATATCAATCCACTTCTACACACGCGGAAATTGTACTTATGACAAAACATTATATAATAATAATAGTGTAGATACATATAGTGACTACCTACTTTAATATAATCATTATATTATAACACATGTAATATGTATACAGCCATCAGTCATAAAGAGTAGGTATCTCATGTATCGTATGTCTCATGCAGCTGTTGGATACATAACATTTCGTTTTCCTAATTAATATAATTTTAAAAATCATCGAGCTACCCACAACGTATATCAAAGTGCCACTTATTTAATTATAGGTATAGTTAAGTGTTTTTTTTTTAAATTTTTTTTTCTCTAATGCTATATACATAATATAGTATGGACTATGGTGGGATAAAAAGGAAGATGCAGACACCCTAGCTCTGTCCCTGTATAAAGTATAAATATCTACATATACATCATACATGTACATTTTTGTTTGGTTCGTAACATAAAATAATTTAAGATGACGTAAATTCTAGTATTTATTATCAGTGGTTATACATTTGTTAGACGGAGACAATTCATGCGGGTGTGAACTTATAGTTTTCTTTTATAAGTAGTTTAAGATAAAACGATTTGAATGATCGCATAGAATTTATAATTTTAATAATATAATTTTAATTACGTTTAAATAAATATACTTGCACCCGCACCCTCAATTTAGACCGATAATATAATATGACGGATATGGTATATTGTACGTGATACAATGATACATATAAGCATTGATTATAAATGCATTGTACATGTTGGTACACTATGCGTCTATACGGACATACAGTTATATATACAATATACATAGGTCATACGTGATAGTGTGATAAGTACCTAATGGCTAATACCTAGCTAAAGATATTAATATATTACGATGTGATGCATTAAACGTATTTATAATAATACTATATAATATATATATAATATTTGTAAGCATAATATGATAGTAGTAGTACTCTAAGCTTATAAAATCAGACATAAATATTAAAATATATGTCAACAAAGGGAAAATAATACCTTCGATACGTTATTATAACAAATTTAATACTATATTATACAAGTATACAACATGAAATATACTAATATACCAAAATACAATTAATTATTATACTATACTGCCACTGATGACTGATTATCCTATTAGATTTCGATTTCAATTAATTCTAGGGATGAGTATTTTGCAAAATAGCGGCCGGGGCGTAGGCATAAATGCATGATTATATGCAGTGCGATTCGCTGATCATACTCACCCCTTACAATTCTAGTATTTAAAAGTTTATTTAAAGGATAGCTTTAATAATACATTTATTCAATAATTATAATTTGTTGGAATTATACAGTTCGCTCCAGTCTCAATAATACTAGCGTGCGTAGTGGCATAATAATGCGTAATTAATAATCAGGGTTGAGATTTTATAGGACTTAAAATCGCATAAATATCAATAAATATGTGCTAAAAATATGCAATAAAATTTCGCGACTTTCTTTCATCTTTTCTAGATTTGGTTCAGAAACCAAATAAAACAATTCTAAAAATATATTAAATATAAAAATGTAAAAATTAAATAGGGCTACGGAGTGGCCGAGCGGACTAAGGAATGGGGTGCGACGTGCATCGTCGCCGGTTCGAACCTCAGCTAAGGGCGGTATTTCTCTTCAGGCAAGGTGTCTGGAGAGAGAGACCGACAAAC